TGTGTGGTTGTGGCCAGTGGCCAGCCCCAGATGTGCCGGCAGCCATGTTTGGGCCTTGTTCTGTGTTGTAAGTGTGCAGCGAGGAGCAGCTACTGGACACACACTGAGGGCTCTGGACAGCAGATGGATGGTAACCACTGCTGATAAACTATTAGGCTATTACAAAACTCAACGTGTGACTGTATATAATTAAATACATAAATTCATTTAAGATCCCGTGAAGGAGTGCATATCACCTGCTGCCACCTTTGAGAGTCCTTACATTCTGCAAAGTTATGGACGTTTTGGTCAAACTTTAAAATAATTGTTGCGCAATTAAGTGCTCACAATACGTTGTGACTTAGCTATAAAAACGTCAAATTTTAGCTCATTAAGTGCAAAACTGACTGAGTTGTAACAATTTTTGCACTGACATTGTCAGCAAAATATCTCTTGATCCAGAAATGTTAATAAAGCTCACAATTTTTCTCTGTTTTGCCTTTTTTTTTTTTTTACCTGTCTTTCCCTGCAGGATGTTACGTTTTCCACGTTCACCACGTGAATCCATAACCTGGGGAAAAAAAGTTCTTCATTTTGCTTGTTTTATTCCCCTTTTTTTCCATTTGATCATAGATGCATTTGCCTGTTTCCCACACTGAATTGAAAACATGAAGCTGAAGCAGCAGAGGTAACATTTGTCTGCCTTTCCACTCCACTTTGTTTGTTTTCCACCTTTACGCAATACAAGAAGAAAAAAAAAAACAGACACATTGCTGTTTTGCAACACTTGGGTGGGGAGTAAATACTCTAGCCAGGRAGTAATACACAAAGATTAAAAAAATGTGCCTTTCCTGTGCCATGTGGGAAGTCTAGCTGAAGCTTTGCTGCACAGACAGCTCAGGAGGAGTGGAAGTGTTCTGTCATGGTGGAAGATGGACATCTGGAGATGATTAGAGACCATTTGTTTCTGTCAGAGCACAAAGCTTCTGCCTTCTGTGTGGGTGATAGATAAATTAATAGGCTTACAATAGATGGAACAAAAGAGGGCTCACTCATCAATGAAATACTTTGACACCACCGGAGCACTCTGTCATGCTTGTTTTGGACAGTAATTGTGTGAGTGCTGAGTCAGTATTCACAGCTGTATTCCTGTTTTGTAAGTTTCATGCAATATGACTACTTMTGCACGTTTTATTCTAGTTTAGCCAGGTCAGCTAATAATCCAGCTTATTTAAAAATAGATGCCATGACTCCTAGGTTTTGTAACTTTTATTATTTTCAAAATGTTTAACTTTGTTCACAGTTATTTTCCTGTGGGATGTGGAAGCTCAGTTTTGTTATCCAGAGGCTGCAGGTTTGCTTGCTGYGGCGACGAGTGAGGCAGCCGAAAGAAAAAGAAAATTCCCAGATATTTTCTCCATAGAAATGCAAAGATCTCCTCATTTCATTCAAAAATATTAGGCTTTTGTTGTGTTATGCTACTTCATGTTAGCTATTGTTTGGTTACTTTTAGTTTGCTTTTTGCTGCTTTTAGCTTTTAGCTACTGTTCAGTTACTTTTAGCTAGATTTTTGCTATTTTTTAGTTTTTAGCTACAGTTGTGTTTGTACCTGGTCTTTTGCTTTGTACAGCCTTTACCTATTGTTCTGCTTTGAGACAACTTTTTGCTGCTTTTAGTTTTTAGCTACTGTTTTTAACTAATTTTTAGCTACTTTTAGTTTTTATTTCCTGTTATGCTAGAGTTTTTTGCTACTTTTAGCTTCTAGCTAGTCTTTTGTTACTTTTTGCTAGCCTTTTGCTATTTTCAGCTCTTAGCTAATATACTGTATTGCTACAGTTTTAGCATGCCACTTTTAGCTTTTCCCTATTTTAGCTTTGGGTTTAGCTAGTTTTAGCTGTTGCCACTRTTAGCTTTCAGCTAACATTTTGCTCCTTTGAGCATTTAACTATTGCTCTTTTTTTTATTAGTCTTAACATCTTCAGTTCCTGTTCTTCAGCATCTGTCGGCAGCCTGTCAGCATGCTGCATTTTCACAGGAAATTTTATTTTTTTCCATCAGCCAACAAAATGATGAAGTTTTCTTCAGCCAGTGGGTTCTGTGGTCTGAGACATTTTTTGATTAGTATCTAACTCATGTCCTTGTCCAAACTTTTGATTCTTCCACTCAACCCTGTTGTTTTCTTCTCTCAGACACACATTCATAAAGAACATGCTGGCTGATGACCCCACTAATGCTTGTTCTTTGCCTAAAGAGTAGAGATAAAGACAGAGAGGAAAGCAGCGAGTGGTGCAGCAGATTCCACCTCCCCCCTCCCTTCCTCCCCCATCTCTTGTCCTCCCCAAGGGGATCGGATGTTCTCAGCCGTTATAAGCAAGCAAAGCTGGCGGCCGGCAGACCGTCTGGCTCCAGTGCAGCCCAGGCACACAGACAATGCCAGACCTTCTGTCATGAGGTTTGCTTTCACTGAGGTCAGCTAAACAAGCCTTCAGGCCCTAAACAGAGCCATGTGCTCACATAGTCTTTCATCCTCTGAACACGCTCAGTTTAACTGACTTTTTTCAGTCCYTCCCCTCCCCTCCTACCTTGAGCAGCAGTGTCAGTCTCTTGTTTGTGTTGTCTGAGTCTATGTTTGCAGTGTCACTATGTCCTGAAGTCAATGTCCTCTTTCTGAAAGCAGAGGACACCAGTGGAACTGCTCAACAGATTTAGCAGACTACAACAACGCAGCACCATAAGGAGTTTGATATTTGTGTGATCTCACATCTGTCAATGATTGGAGCATGGGATGTAAATGACTGTCTGGTACTACCACATAAAACTTTAGCTCAGCATTTGAGGTARTGATATTTTTCAGCGAGTTTAAGTCAGTTAGCCATCTTGAACTSGGTTAATTCCAAAAGTTAACAAATTAAAGATAACTAAGTATAAATAGGCCAATAACTTGTTACTTAAAGTTTCAMTGAAATCTGTCCAATGGTTTGTGAAACATTTAGCAAACAAACAGGGTTGACTCTAGTTAATGCCAAGGTTTTAGGCAACAATTGAGTGCTCAAAGTACATGTTGCATAAATAAGTTGTACCCCAGGCTGATGCTCTTCCTATTATTTATTCTTGCAGGTGACCAACAAATCCTAGCCATGTAATGCAAAAGTGACAGTGATGTCAATGGGTTTTAAAAAAGAAAAGTGTTTGCATGAACTGATCAATATTTGAGATTGAAGTTGTTTTAAGACAGCTGTTCATTTTCATCGTGGCTTGACTCAAATTAGCTGTTAGCTTGTCAATCTTGTAATATAAACTCTTATTTCTCCAAACTTAATGCATTCAGAAATGTAGCCACAACAGGTAAGATATTTGTTCACACCCTTTCCAGAAGATCTGAACCACTGCTTTGAGCTTCTGAAAGGAGCACACTGCAATAATAATTAGTCTCATCTTTTTGTTCTCAAGTTACACTCAACATGAACACAAACCTATTGCCTTTTCAATAACAGGATTCTAAACTGAACTTAAAATTGTTTTCCCTGCATGGATGAACACTTCCTGTTCTTTGAACATATTCTGGTGCTCCAAAAACATGCTTTGTGCGTTTTTACCTTTTAACCAATGCACACCCCTGGTAAGTCAAGCGAGTGTGTTGCAGCTRCTGTGTTTTATTGCAGTCGTATGTTTCTTTGTGATGGGACAGATGAAGGTGAATGGAGGCTCTTTGGTGTTCGGGGGTGGGGGGCACCTCCTCAGTCAGCCTGCGCTCAGAGGAGTAACAGTTTGTGAATGAGTTATTCCAGCTGGGACGTCTTTGTGGCCTGCTGTTTCTGATTTCACAGTCCATCTCTGAGCCTCTCTTCCAGGAGGAGCATCACAGAACAGACC